CCCAGACATTCTTCGACTAACTGTGGCCTTGTGACTAAATATTGGCTTATGGGGTATAAGCAGAAACAATATATATAAGTCCAGAATGTGTTCTGGAGAGGGGAACATTCCTTCCCCTTACTCTTTCCTGTGGGCTGGAATGTAGATGCAACAGTTAGAGCTGGGGCAGCCACCTTGGCTCATGAGTTGGAAGGAGGAATTTCAATCCACAAAGCCTACAAATTCTTGACAACTTGGTGAAACACAGCTGCCATGCCTGCCAGCTTTGGACTGCTACCTCCAAAATTCATGTATATGGGAGAAATATACATTTTTTAAAAGATTTTTATTTATTTATTTGACAGACAGAGATCACAAGTAGGCAGAGAGGCAGGCAGAGAGAGAGGAAGGGAAGCAGGCTCCCCGCTGAGCAGAGAGCCCGATGTGGGGCTCGATCCCAGGACCCTGGGATCATGTCCTGAGCCGAAAGCAGAGAGGCCTTAACCCACTGAGCGACCCAGGCGCCCTGAAATATACACCTTTAAAGCCATTGTTTTGGTATTTCCATGAATATAGTGAATGTAATCTTAATATACCAAATGCCCTAGTTCTGGTCTATGAAACCCAAGGGCAAGTGTGCTGGATGATTTCTAGGCAAGATGCTTTTTCTCCTTGTAAAAGGAGAGTTCTGTTTCCCCATCTTGGCTGTCCTCCTGATTTTTATCTTTGGGCATGGTAACATGAGGACACAGTGCCCAGAGCTGCAACAACATTCTTATGACCACAAAGGAAAGGCCAAGAGAAATTCAGAGCCACTAACCAGAACCAGAATGACAGCACTGAACTAACCCCATATTTCTTGTGTGAGATAATGAACAGCCTTATCATTTAGCCACTGTGTTGGATATCCTGCCACTTATAACAAAAAGCATTTCCAAATGTCATATTCTCTTGCTATGAATGTTTGTGCCCCCTCCCCAAATTCACATGGTGAAATCCTCACCCCCAAGGATGTGGGGCCTTTGGTATTTTGGTGTGTAGGTCATGAGGGTGAAGCCCTCAGGAATGGGATTAGTGCCCTGATCAGAGAGACTCCAGAGAGTCACCCCTTCCACCACGTAAGGATACAGCAAGAAGTCAGCAGTCTGCAACCAGCAAGAAGGGCTTCACCAGATCCTGACTGTGCTGCTCTCTTGGACTTCCGGCCTTCAGAACTGTGAGAAATAAATTCCTGTTATTTATAAGCCACCCAGTCTGTAGTATTTTTTTAAAAAGATTTTTTACTTATTTACTTGACAGAGATCACAACTAGGCAGAGAGGCAGGCAGAGAGAGAGGAAGGGGGAGAGGAAGGGAAGCAGGCTCCCTACTGAGCAGAGAACCCGATGCGAGGCTCGATCCCAGGACCCTGGGACCATGACCCAAGCCAAAGGCAGAGGCTTTAACCCACTGAGCCACCCAGGTGCCCCAAAAGATTTTTTTTTTAAAGATTTTATTTATTTATTTGACAGAGAGAGAGATCACAGTAGACAGAGGCAGGCAGAGAGAGAGAGAGAGAGGGAAGCAGGCTCCCTGCTGAGCAGAGAGCCCCATGCGGGACTCGATCCCAGGACCCTGGGATCATGACCTGAGCCGAAGGCAGTGGCTTAACCCACTGAGCCACCCAGGCGCCCAAGATTTTTTTTTTTTTTTAAAGTAATCTCTATACCTCATGCAGGGCTTGAACCCTGAGACCAAGAGTCACATGCTCTACCAACTGAGCCAGCACCGGTCCATAGTATTTTAACAGTGGCCCAAACTAAGACATCCCTATATCTCTATTGCTCCTTCAATCTCTGCTTTTTGACTGCATCCTTCCTGTTGGGCCCACAGTCATGATCATCTCAGCCATGCAAAATAACGCAGTTTGCCCTGTATCCATTTCTCCCTCCAGCCACTGTTTTCTTTCCTTTCCCAGGTAAGTCTCTGTAAGAAGTAGGCTACACACCTTATCTGCACTTCCTTACTTGTTACTCATTCTTTGATCTTCTCTGGCTTCCCTTCCACTTCAGTATTTTAATCTAGGCCACTAATAACCTCCTAATTTGCAAATCCAACAGACACTTACTTGTCTTTTTCTTATCTGACCTCTCTATGGCTTTTGGCTTTGATTACCACTTCCGCAGCTGTGAAACTCCCTTTACCTGTGGCTTCTTACCCTCGGCTGTTTCCCTTTTGACCTCTGGCTCCTCGTTCTCCGTTTCCTTCATCAGCACCTCCTTCTGTTTTTACCTCTTAAACGTTGGCTTCTTCAGGGTGTTCTTCTGCCTCTCTCTTCCCTTTCCACGCTCTCCTCCTAGGTGGTTACTTCCATTCCTAGAATTTCAAAGATTGAGGGTAGCTTTCTTGAGAATCAGGGACCTACTCTAAACTCTTCATTAAGCAGAGTTGAGCCAAAGCTACTGTGGTAAAATATAATTTCCATTGGATTAAGCACCTTGTCATGGATTGAGTTGTGTTCCCCAAAAAGATATGTTGAAATCCTAATGCCCAATACATGCGAATGTGACGTTATTTTGAACATAGGGTCTTTGCAAGTGTAATCAAGTTAAGACGAGGTCATTAGGATATAACTGTGAACTTATAAGGAGAGAAGAGACACAGATACACAGGGACATCACCATGTGATGATGAAGGCTGGAGATGTAGCTACAAGCCAAGAAATGCCAGGATCAATGGCCATCACCAGAAGCCAGAAAGAGGCAAGGAATCATTCTCCCCTATAGTTTTCAGAAAGATCTTGGCCTGCTGACACTTTGATTTTTGGGTTCCTAACCTCCAGACTGTGAGACAACAACTTTCTGTTGTTTCAAGCCCCACGGTTTGTGGTATTTTGTAACAGCAGGTCTAGGAAATGAATACACACTTCCTCCATTGTCCTGTACCTCCTTATCTGAGAAACCAGTTATGACTTGTAATCACCTTTCTCATAAGGTTTTGCCTTCATCTTTCCTCCAGTTCAGGGATTTTCAGCCTTTCACATATCATAGACAAGTTTTTTTTTTTTTTTAAGATTTTATTTATTTATTTGACAGATCAAAGTAGGCAGAGAGCAGGCAGAGAGAGAGAGAGAGAGAGAGAGAGATGGGAGGAAGGAGGCTCCCTGCTGAGCAGAAAGCCCAATGAGGGGCTCAATCCCAGGACCCTGAGATCATGACCTGAGCCGAAGGCAGAGGCTTTAACCCACTGAGCCACCCAGTTGCCCCGACAAGTTTTGATTCTTTAAATTTGAATATCAATATTGGGTTACAACTTTCAATTTTGCCCTTCATCTTTTGCTATAAGGGTATTAACTACACACACACACACACACACACACACACACACAGCTACCATCTACTTACAACATCATTCATAAAAGTTAAGACATCTTAACACTAAACTCTCAGAAGAAAGTACAATTTGTATTAAATTAAATATTTTAAGTTATATGAAAATCTCATTCTTTGTCCCAATATGTTTCCAGTATTGTTTCAGATACATACTTCATAACAGAAACATTTATGTATGTGACAAAGAAAAATGTTAATACATAAATATTCATAGACTCCTTTCCTTGTTTCCAGCCATCTTCCCCCTCCTTTCCCAAATTCTCTTTGATCATATTGCAAAATTGGGGTAATCGGTGAGGGAAAATGTGAGAAGCAGCAGCTGGAAGAACAGTGAGAATTTCTTTTAAACATATAAGGAATCACTTCTCAAAGGAAAGTTTAGATGGATGAAGAGGTAGAGAGGCAGCCTCAGGACTGAGGGAGATGGAGGAGAGAGGATGTTACAGGCTTAGGAGAGAAATTGCTAATGGCAAGAGATGAAGAAAAAGGAATTTTAGGAAATCGACTGTATGTTGCCGGTACCTTCTTGAGAGTGTGAGGTAGGGAATTTAAACTGCTTTCAAAAAATTTTTTTTTCTTCTGGAATTTTATCTCTTCCAGTGTAATTCTTTATAGGACCAGATAATAAGGCAGCTCAGCGTTAATAGGGTTGCATATGACTGTGAGCAAAATCAGTTATTGTACAGTTGTTAGAAAAAGGAACTATGGAATCAGAAGCCCCGCGTTTGAATCCTGGTCCCAATCCACTTCTGCTGCGTCCGTGGGAGAATTACTTTAGTTCATTGTGCTTCATTTCCCCATCCACGGAAGGGAGATAACAGTACCCACTTTACCATTTTGTTGGGAGAATCATGAACTAATACACATAAGGCAATGAGGACAGCGTTTGGCAATGGAAGACCCTCACATGTCAGCTAGTAATAAAACGGAAACCTACAGATAGTTTTCCCACCTGCTGAAACAAAAAAAACCTTTCGCGGCTAACTGTTGCTAAACTTCTCAGCACGACACCCAACAAAACCTCAAGTGCCTGAGCTGCCCAGAGCAGGCTCAGCTCCGACCTTCCCGTCGGTGTCCTCGGGCTCGGCTGGGGCGCCGCACTCGCGGCCGCTCGCTCGCGCGGCAGGCGCCTCCCTCCTCCCGCATTTGCTGGCATCCTCGAGGCCCGGGCGCGCAGGGCTCGCGCGTTACCCGCCCGCCGAGGCCACTTCCCTCCCTCCTCCCCGTGATCCCGGCACTTCGAACCTCCGCGCGAGCTCTTCTCCCCGTTGCGCTGTAACTGTTCAAAGGGTCTGACTCGCCCGCACATCCTAGATGCTCAATTAAAGTGACCGTAAAGGAAAACGCTGTGCTTTCTCGCGCAAATACAAACGGGGGCCCTGGGTGGGGAGGGGGCACTTGGTCAGTAGGTCTGTCTTTACACCCGAAGGCCCGTGGCCCAGGGTGCCAGGCCCGGACATTATGCCCGGGGGTGAAGGCGGGGCTCCCTTGCCGGGACACTTCGGCTCCCCGCAGTCCTCCAACCTCGCCCGCGGTCACGTGACCCCCCACCCCCGGCGCACAGCTGGAGGCGGGTCCCCGCCCTCCCCCGGGAGCGGCGGCGCTGGAGCGGGCGCGGTGCATTGTGGGCAGAGGGGCGGGGGTTGGGAAGATGGCGGCTCCCAGCCTCCTCAACTGGAGGCGGGTTTCCTCCTTTACGGGGCCGGTCCCCCGCGCCCGGCACGGACACCGGGCCGTGGCCATCCGGGAGCTGATGATCATCTTTGGAGGGGGCAACGAGGGCATCGCGGACGAGCTGCACGTCTACAACACGGGTAGGCGCGGCGGCGGCTCTACGGCCCCGCCTGTGGGAGTCGCGGAGGGGGAGGGGAGGCGAGGCGGCGGCCGAGGCCCTGACAGCTGTCACCGTCGGGTCACTGCCTCTTGAGGCGGGCAGCAGGGAGTCCGCCTTGGCCGGGCGGCCGGGGTTCCGCAGTGTCCTGGGTGGCAGCTCCGTTTCCCCAGGGCCCGCGGGGCAGAACCGGGCCCCGAACGGGGCGCGCGGGCCCTCAGGCAGGCGGTCCCGGACCCCCCACCTCCCCGCAAGCCCTGCGGGCGGACGTGGGCGAGAGAGACCGTTTCCACACGTCAGGGCCTCTTCCCGAAGTCTAGCCCACTTCGGGGGTCCAAGATCCCTCTGTCAAAAACCAAAACCAACTCCAAACCAAAGCTGCTCCGGGCCTTTCTCGTCTTCGCCTGCGGTCTTTCCTTAGGAGGAAACGAATCGGGGCGGGGAGAGGGCTGGGGGTGCTGAGAAGGGAAAACGAGAGGCCTGGTACTTTCACCCCAAATACAACCCCGTAACTGACAGGGGGCAGTCAAGATTTTTGCCCCATTGGTAACCCTCTTTGGCGGGGAAGTGGTTCTTTGGTGAGACCGGCGCCTGTCTCTGCATATTTGGGTGTGTGTGCTGAAGCTCAGCTGTGCGGCGCGCTCGGCGAGAGGACCGTCAGCTTGAGCACCGCTGCAAATCACAAGTGCCCCTGGCCGGGGAGGCTCTGCCTTTGAGTGCCTAGGGATAGAAAGGAGGGTGGAATTTAATTTTCCCCAACTTGTAAAGGCGCTGGCTCTCAAGAGGAAGCTGTTTCCTTGGTGTAAGGTTAATTACTGAATTTTGGATCTATGTCATGATCAATGACTTTGACCAAATAACTTAATCATAGTGGTCATTTTAAGGTTAATAAAATAGTGGCATAGGAGAAATTTCTTTTTTTTTTTTTTACCCTCTCCTCCTCCAGGCTCTCTAATATATAGTTTAAAAGTTATTTGACAATTTGGTATAGGGTAAAAATCCTGGCTTTGGAAAAAAGTTAGACCTGGTTTGAATTTTGCTCTGCCAGTTGCTCAGGATCAGCACTAAAGTTACCCAACTTAAATGTCAGATTTTCACTTGTAAAATAGAGATGATGATACTCACCACCAGCAGCACTATTGCCACTTTGAACCAGAGAATTATTTGTCGTAAGAGGATGCGCTGTATATTGTTAAGGTGTTTAGCAGCATCTCTCATCTCTACCCACCAGTTGCCAGGAGCATTTCTCCCCTGCCTCCTGTTAGACAACTACACATTTTTAGTTTGCTTCTGGAGACAAAGTCATTTCCAGTTGCTCCTGGGGGCAAAGTCATCTCCAGTCTCCAATAACCACTGATACAGATGATAAATATAGAGTATATACTCATAGTTTGTGATAACTATTATTATAATTGGTTTTCATTTTATTTTGGCAACCAGTTACAAATCAGTGGTTCCTACCAGCTGTTAGAGGAGACATCCCTCCAGGTTGCGCTGCCCATGGATTTGTCTGTGATGGTACCAGAATATTAGTATTTGGGGGAATGGTTGAATATGGAAGATACAGCAATGAGTTATATGAGTTGCAAGTAAGTGTGTCTCAAATTTATCTCAAGCTACAGCTTTAATAATGATCTTGCTAATTCTTTGAAAGATTGTTAAATATTTCATTGCATGTTTAAAATGGTATGAACTTCACATTTTATAAGCTTCAAGGAAAATGTTTCCACTTCATTAAGAAGCCAGAGTTTCTAATGTGAGTCTTTTTTCAATACCTAGCGTAACAATTGTAACATTAAGCTATCTGTTACTTAGCATCACTTATACATGTTACACGTTTAGGCTTTTGTATCTTAGTTCTTCAATTTTAGCAGCAGCAGAGGGCTTGTGAAAACACAGATTGCTGGGTGCTGCCCCCAAGAGTTTCTGAATCAGTATTGTCTGGTGTGAGGCCTCACCCCTGGCATTCCTTCCAAGTTCTCATGTGCTGTTGCTCGTCCCAAAACCATACTTTGCAAACCTCTACCTTCGTTATAGAGATTGTTACCCTCACACTAATAAGCATTATTTTTTTTCCCTGGCAATCCATGGAAAAAAAGGGTACAGTTTCATATGTTCTTTATAAATTTGATTCTGTTAAACCATGCTCAGAGCTCTCTCTGACAGCCCTTGATTGACTTCTATTTCTGAAGCGTGCGTATGTTCACAGAGCTGTTACCATGAAGACATCTGCTAATTGACAGGTGTAGATGAATTGTACCTATTCAAAACCAAATAGTTTTAGATAAATAGAGCATCCATAGCCAGAGCATGAGTTGTTTTTTTTTTTAAACAGAGCATGAGTTTTGATTAATTATCTTTACTTATGCTTACTTAAAGGTTGAAATATATAGTATCTATGGATTACCTAATTTCAGAAAATAAGAATATATCAATTTCATTTAATCCTAAAGCTATGTATATTTAATTTTTCATTTGGAAAATATTTTAGAAATACTGCTGTTTATTGTTATGAGCTTAGGTTGCTATTGAGGAAAGCTGTGAATATGGAAGACTAAACTGACTTTCCTTTTGAGGGGGAGGGAGCAGAAGGGCAGAGGGAGAGGAAAAGAGAGAATCTTGAGCAGGCTCCACGCTCTACTCTCATGCCCCTGAGCTGAAATCAAGAGTTGGACTTCTAACCGACTGAGCCACCCAGGCACCCCAAGAAGACTAGACTGAATTTCTATTACAGTGCTTATTTTAGTTCCAGAAATTACCTGTTTACTTGTCATTTGTCCCTAGAATAGTTTATTGGAGCCTTCTGATTGGATTTTGGTTAAAATGTATTGGTATGATGTTATACTATTGACAATATAGGAATGCTTTCTTGATACTGTTGATTGTATTTATGCTCTTTTTTAGGCAAGCCGTTGGTTATGGAAAAAAGTGAAACCTCACCCCCCTTCTTCTGGTTTACCTCCTTGTCCTCGTCTTGGACATAGCTTCTCTTTATATGGTAACAAATGCTATTTGTTTGGTGGTCTGGCAAATGAAAGTGAAGATTCGAACAATAATGTTCCCAGGTATGCTGATTCTTTTTTGGACCAAATGTATATTTTATGACTTAGATTAAGAACATTTAATTTCTACTATTTTCAGTTATTAAAAAGGATGAAACTTAGCCTTTTGCATTTAAACCTAACAGTGAACAAATTTGTGTGCAGTTGTATTTTCCCTAGTCCCTGGAATATATGTCTGTTTTCAAAACTGTGCCTTTTCTTATCAGAAATCATCTTATTAAATGATATTAATATAATTGCTTATAGCAACCTATTTGTATGTATTAAGCCATAATGTATTTCACTTGTCATAAATGATAACAAAAGTAACAAATGGTTATTTTTAAATTAGATGTCTCAAGGAACTTGGTGACAAAAATCTCACTATAAAATGAAGGCTATTATATCCACTTTTCATTCAGAAAGCTGTTACAGTGATTCATATAAGCAAATATTTTTTGAACCAATCGTCTCCTCTTTTTTCCAAACAGAACCAATCACTACCTCTTCCCCCCCCGCCCCGTAGTGTTTTGATCATATTGTCATTGTAGCACTCAGGATTTGGACATTTAGAGTCTGAAGGACTGTTTTCTGATTCACTGCTTACCATATGTGTCCTTTAGTGAAAGTAATCTAATCCTGTTTTCCTTGGCTGTGAAATGGGAATGATTAAATATCTACATTTCACTGTCATTTTGTTGCCTAAATAAGATTGTTGGCATTACTTTCAGAGAACTTGCAGGTTGCCATCAATATATTACCTACATTACATTGATGTTAGAGCCTTAGTTTTTTTGTCTTTCTAAACTTTAAAAAAATGACACATACTAAAAGATCACAGTAAACTTAGAAACTGGAGAAAAGGGAAAAAATTTATTCCACCATACTAAGCCAGATACTTTTACTTGTGGCACATGTCTTTTTTGTTTTTATATTAAACAGATTTTTCTGGATACAGGCTTATAAAAATGCAAGAAACTAGAAAGTATATGAAGTTCTTTCTTAGAGCATCACTGTCCTCGAACACAGGCACACACATAATTCAATTTGATGTGCATCTTTTAGAACCCTTTTCATGTAACATGTATTAGTTTTTTTTAGGTTATTGTGTATAATGGGCAAGCTTATCAAGTTTATGCTGCTTGAGGGAGCAAATAGATAAATGCAGTGCTTTTGAAAGCCTCTGGTTAAAGATAGCAGATTCATTTCTGTTCACATTCCACTGGTCAGTGATCCAGGACTGAGTGTTCTGCCTAGCAGGAAAGGGGAGGTGGGGAACATTGATCTGATCCTACACAGACATGTATTCTCTTTTATAGAAGTGGAATCTTTTTTTTTTTGCTTTGCAACTTTGGGCTTTTACGTGTTTGTTTTTGTTGTTGTTTTTTCCTTTAACAGTATATCTTCAAGATCTTTTAGGGCAGTAGATAAAAATTGACGTTAATTTTTTTTAATGGCTAAAAGTAGTCTGAATTATGTAAATTACTTAACCATTCCCCTACTGGCAGACGTTTAAATATTTCCACTTTTTTGCTGTTACAGTCTTTGCACATGTATAACTATTTTTGTTTTTGCCATTTTTGTTTTTTTAGAGAGAGAGAGAGCGAGGGTTGGGGGTGGGGTTGGGTAGAGGGAGACAGAGAATCTTCAGGAGGCTCCATGCATAGCGTGGAGCTGGTCACAGGACTTGATCTCAATCCTGAGATCATGACCTGAGCTGAAATCAAGAGTCACATGCTTAACAACTGAGCAACCCAGGAACACCAATTTTTGTAGGATTCATACTTGTAAATGGAATCAGCGGGAGGGACATCAAGGGTATTTACATTCAACTTTGTTAGGTATTCCTGAGTCAGCCTCCAAAGATCCAAAACCGTTTTATACTTCTAAGTGTATGGGATGGCCTACACCCTTAACAGTATTGAATTGTCTCGGTCTTAACTAGTTTTTACCAAACTAATAGGTGAACTACATTTCATGGATTTATTTTGATTTTTTAAAAAACTGGTAATGAGGGGTGCCTGGGTGGCTCAGTTGGTTAGGCGGCTGCCTTCGGTTTAGGTCATGATTCCAGGGTTCTGGGAATAAGCCCTGCATCGGGCTCGGTAGGGAGCTTCTCCTTGTTCTACTGCTCCCCCTGCTTGTGCTCTCTTGCTCTCTGTCAAATAAATAAATAAAATCTTAAAAAAAAAACAAAACTGGTAACTACTGGGCACCTGGGTGGCTCAGTCGGTTGTGTCCAACTCTTGATTTTGGCTCAGGTCATGATCTCAAAGTCATGAGATTCAGACCCATGTCAGGCTGCAGGCTCCACAATGAGTCTGCTTGTCCTCTCCCACTCCCTCTACTCCTCCCCAAGTGTGTGCGTGCACACTCTTGCCCTCTATCTAAAATAAGTAAATAAAATCTCTTTAAAAAACTGGCGATGAGCTTGATTAACTATGTTTATTGGACATTTGCAGCTCCTTTTCTGAAATTGTTCATATCCTTATTCATTTTTCCTTTTTAAATAGAGTATAAATTATACACCATAAAATTCAAACTTTTTATATCATATTCCAGTGATTTTAGTCAGTTTACTATGTTGTGTATCCATCACCATAATTCATATTTTTTTCAAGTCTTCTATTTGCCTTTTTTAAAAGGGTTTTCATTTGTGTTATCAGGTTTGACAATATTTTTCTTTTATTGCTTTCTGCTTGGGAAGATGGTTCTACCTCACAGCTCTCTGGTACCTTCACAGCTTTGTTGTGTTCAAAATATTAATAGATTTAGAATATATCTTTGTGACTAGTATGAGGTATTTTTACTTTTTCTTCCTAATGGATTTTCAACTCTTCACTACCATTTATTAAATAAGTCATTTTATTCCTCATTGATTTGAAGTCCCATCTGTATCACATCTTAATCCTCATACAAATGAGGGTCTTGTTCTAGCTTTCAGGATCAGGAATTATGAATTACACTCTGTGGGCCAAATTTGGTCTGCTACCTTCCTGTCTTTGTTAATAAAGTTTTATTGGAACACAGCCATGCCCATTCATTCACGTGTTGTTAAAAGAGCAAAGTTGAGGGGCACCTGGGTGGCTCATTCGGTTAAGCGGCTGCCTTTGGCTCAGGTCATGATCCCAGGGTCCTAGTATAAAGACCCATGTTGGGCTCCCTGCTCCATGGGCAGCCTGCTTCTCCCTCTCCACTGCTTGTGCTCTCTCTCTCATGCTTTCTCTCTCTCTCAAATAAATTATTTTTTTAAAAAGAGCAAAGTTGAGTTGTTGTGACAGAACTTAAAGCTTCCATAGCCTTAAATACTTACTGTCTAGCTTTTTACAGAAAATGTTTCTCAACTCTTGTTCAAGACTCTATTCTGTTTCATTAATATATTTACTTTTCTGTCATGAATTGTGATGTTTTCTATAGGTTTCGGGTATTTGCCTTTGATCAGATTAAAGAAGTTTTAAACAATTTCTAGTTTGCTGATTAGTTTTTTCCTCTCTTTTTAACCAAAAATGGGTGTTCATATTCATTTTAGACATAGAAAGAACTTACTGTTTCTTTTCTTTAATCCATTAATTGTTTGAATTATATTATTAGGTTCTAAAATATAAGCCATCTTTTTATTTGTGGTTAAGCCCCAGTTTGTTGCATTACAGTGTTCTTTTCATACTTTGCTGAATTCATTTTGCTAACACTTATTTGTACTGTCTATAGTCACCAGTGATTTTCCCTATATTGACTTTATTTGGGATAGTGGGGTCCTATTCTAATCTGATTTGAGTATCAGGATTCTGTAATTCATGGGAATATAACCAGGGCTGTGTTCTGAGGTAATGGGAAGCTTTCCGTCTTTTATTATGCTTAAATAACATAATTTCTTGAATATTTAGTAGAAATTCCCATAATTATCTGAGATTAGTATAATTTAGGAAGATGACCTTTTCCTAACTTTTCTATATTTTTTATAGTTACTGATCTATTTAGATTTGCTACTTTTTCTTGAATCATTTGATAATTTGTTTTCCTTGAAAAATCATGCATTTCACTTAGATTTTTACAGTTTTTGATAAAAATTATAAGTTCTCTGTATATTTAGAATCTCTGTATCTGTAGTTACATCTCTTTTCTCATTTATAAATGTGTGTGTTGTCTTTTCTCTGATCAGACACGTGAGTGGTTTGATGGTTTCAAAGAACCATTTTTTAGTTTTATTGATTTATTTTTATTTTTCACATATTTTCTTTATTCCGTTTCTTTAAATTTTTCCTCTTTTCTGAGTTCTTCTAACTTTTAATAGTTTTGGTGCCTTTTCCAACTTTTTTCTAACTTCTAGTAATTTGAATGCCTCTTAGTTCACTTATTTTTGTGTTTTTTTTTTTTTTTAAGATTTATTTATTTGGGGGTGGACGGGCAGAGGGAGAGGAAGAGAGAGTCTCAAGCAGACTCCATGCTGAGCAAGAGCACAATGAAGGCCCAATCCCATGACCCTGAGATCGTAACCCAAGCTGAAATGAGGAGTCAGATGCTTAACCAACTGTGCCACCCAGGGGCCCCTAAACTTTGAAGTTTTTTATGTCCTGAAGTGTTTTAATTTTGCTCCCATATTTGAGTAATAATTTGATAGGACATACATTCCTATGAAAGTCATTTTGCTCAAAATATTGAAAGCACCATGTCACCGATGAAAAAGTTTAATGCCAGTTTCTAGAGTTAAAAAAAAAAAAGCTATGTTGGGCACTGATATATTATAGAGTGAATGTTTTAAAAGAAAAAAGTTGCAAAACAACATTTGTATTATGTCTCATTTATACATATGTGGATGTTCATAGAGGTCAGAAAGGGTATTTACTAATTATTGCCAATAGTGATTGTCCTGGTTATCTAGTACCATGTAATAAACTCCTCCAAAAGTTAGTATGCAGAATAACATTTATTATGTTCAGGGATTCTGTGCATCAGGAATTCAGACAGGACACAGCAGTGATGGCTAGGCGCGGAGATGGGAAGTTTTGAATGGTCACTCCTATATCTTGTGCCTCTACTGGGATGACTGAAGGATGGACTGAACTGGGGCCGTCCTCCTACATGCCTATATATGCCACTCCATATGGGGTTTTTGTGGCAGTTTGATTTGTATGGTGCTTCAGGATTCCAAGAACAAGTATTCTGTAGTGAAACTACATTAGCCTTCTGTGATCAAGCCATGGAAGTCAGCTAGTGGCATTCACCATAATCTTGTGGCAGCAGTCACGGGCTCCCCCAGAATTGCGAGTGGGGACTGACATACCTCCTACTTCCTGATGGGAGGTATCACAATTTGTGTCTATGTTTTGAAACCATCACAGCTTCGTGGACAAGAGTGTTGGTTAAATGATGGCAGGAATTTTTAAAAAATCTCTTCTGTTCACTACTGATCCCCAGAAGAGTACTTGAAACACAGTAGTGTTTGATAAATACATACTGAATGAATGAGGGATGGGGTTTTTGGTCCCCTAATGCTTTTTGATACCAAATGAATGTTTCACAGTAAGCATAGATTATCTTTATAAATAGAAACAAAAATCAAAAGGTATATATTATGTTAATGTTTTAATTTATTTCATGATATCCTAGATATTTGAATGATTTCTATGAGTTGGAGCTACAGCATGGCTCTGGTGTTGTGGGTTGGAGCATTCCAGTGACTAAAGGAATTGTGCCTTCTCCAAGAGAATCCCACACAGCTGTCATATATTGCAAAAAAGATTCTGGAAGTCCTAAGATGTATGTCTTTGGTGGAATGTGTGGTGCTCGCCTGGATGATCTATGGCAACTTGACTTAGGTAAGCTTACCTTGATTCAGGCTCAGGAATTGGTTATGATTGATAAGGACAAATGTAAAAATCACTTTTGAAAAATATTTTTGGTTACAGCATTTATTGAGTTACACTTAGATTTTTAGAAGGCACTTGTAGCCAGCTCTGGGACAGCTGAGATGTATGCAAATGGTGGCTAATCAATGAAGTTAAACAAATGAATATTTGATTTATGGCAGTAACTCTCCTGTGATCCTTATAAATAGGGTTGCCATATGTTGTGGTTTGCCTGAAAGGGCCCTGATTTATCTTTACTGTCCTCTGTAATTATTAGTAGTACCAATTATCACTCCATAAAGTGTCCCATTTGGGAATGATCAAATTTATATGGTTTTTCTGTCTACAGGAAATGTAACATTAGTAATGTTATTGCTGGTCAGTGAAAACACTGGCTAGCTCTTTTTAAAGGGATCCTAGGAGTGAGTGATTGGAGGGTAGGTGTGCCTCTCACTTTCAACTATCTTCTACACAGTGTGTTCTTACTTAAAATGTTAAAATCCCTAATCTGGTTTTAATGCAAAATTGGTGGCACCCTAAATACACTTCCCATTACAGATGCTAACATTCAGGTGTAAACAAGATTATTGTAATTGACTATTTATGTTAGCTGGAAATGTTTATTTTAAGATGAAATTCAAGTAATGGTTTAAAATTCTGCAAGGTGAGAGGCGTCTGGGTGGTTCAGCCGTTAAGCATCTGCCTTCAGCTCAGGTCATGATCCCAGGATCCTGGGATCCAGCTCTGAATCTGACTCCCTGCTCAGCGGGGAGCCTGCTTCTCCTTTTCACACTCCCCCTGCTTGTGTTCCCTCTCTTGAGGTCTCTCTCTGTCAAATAAATAAATAAAATCTTTAAAAAAAAAAATTCTGCAAGGTGAGGTAATTTGCTATTATTAAACCAAATTGCTAACATACTTATTTTTACTTCTAGAAACTATGTCTTGGTCAAAACCAGAAACTAAAGGGACAGTGCCACTTCCACGAAGCCTTCACACAGCCAGTGTTATAGGAAACAAGTATGGTGGTTTTCTTTTTTTCACTTTTTTTTTAAAACCAACTTAAGAAAGATACACACAAAGAGTGGTGCTACCCATTGCTTGGAAATAGATTATTGAATTTAACAATGATTGTGTCTACTAAAGCTAGAATAGTAAGCCTATAGAAGCTAGAATACTTACTGTGCCATTTTCTTATCCTGCCTCTTGCATTTCTGTACATTTCTTACAGCGCCTTGCACAGAGTAGATATTATGTAAGTGTGAAGGAGAGTGTTGTCTCACTGACCTGGCCTCCATTGCCAGGTGTGACACACCTAACTCACTGTTCCATTTTACTTATTTTTGGTAGCACTTGATTTGTTCTCAGATATGGACTCAGTATGCACACAAAATGATTGAACTTTGAATAGAGTTATGGTTAGAACATAAACTCTGTAACCAAGTTGCATGAATTCAAGTCACCAGTTTTGTTATTTGTCATGTATAACCTGGGGCAAGGAAATTTAATCTGTCTGTACCTCAATTTCCACACATATAAAATGCAGATAATATTAAAACCTCTATCAGTCTTGAGGATTAAATGGATTAATACGTATGAAATGCTTCAAACAGTGGCTGGTACATAAAGGGCACTCCATAAAGGTTAGCTATTACTATCATCAACAAGTTCTCTTATTTGTGCATTATTGTGTAAAGAGAAATTAATTATTTTCTTTGTGTAGGGATTTTTTCCTATAAGTAATATTTTAGGAAACAACTAGAACCTCATTAGTTCTTTTTTTTTAAATAGCCATAAACAAAATCTAATAAGCTATATTTTTTAGAATATCAGAATCCTTTTATAAAATGTGGTTTTCCATTGGAACTCTAATAGACAAAATAGGAAATTGAGCTTGTTTAGTTGGCTTGAGGTCACATGGGCCCTGAGTGCTGCCTGATGAACCTTTCTCCTTCAGCAGCTATTAGACCTATCTCAAGAACTCTTAGGGCCCCAAGGGACATAGTTTAAAGTTTTTTATTTGAGTGATATCAATGACAAAAGTTATAAGAAACTTAATCCTCTTTGGTTACTGTATGCATACAACTCTGAATTTGATTTTAGGTGTCATAGGTCATTTGACTATCTTTCTGACTGAGGTACACTTAGTATATTATATATAATATTGATTTTCAAATGTATTAAAAGTGAAATATTCCCCACTTTATGTAACTTGCCAGAGAGAAATAATTTGATTCTGTATTGCTTCATGAAATTGTAGACTTTTCAGAGAAGACCACTTTATTCATTATCTTACTCCCATTATCTTGATCATAAGTAAGTAAGTGAATAGTCCTGAAGCTTTGAATCAACAAATAAGAAATTTAAGTCTATTCTTAGCATTTTAAATCTAAAAAAAAAAAACTAAAGCTTTAGAAAAAAAAATCAGCCACTTTATGTTCTCTCTTTTTGTTCAGGATGTACATTTTCGGTGGATGGGTTCCACATAAGGGGGAGAATATTGAGACTTCACCTCATGATTGTGAATGGAGATGTACTAGTTCATTTTCTTACCTAAATCTCGGTGAGTCTTTTAAGAGTTACTTACTGAGATAAAACTTATTAATAAAAGAATTTTTGTTATTTTGTTGTTTAAGAACACTATAGTAGTCATGGATATTTCTATCTTCTAGATACAGCAGAGTGGACCACCCTAGTATCAGATTCTCAGGAAGATAAAAAAAATTCAAGGCCAAGACCAAGAGCTGGACACTGTGCTGTTGCAATTGGCACTCGATTGTATTTTTGGAGTGGAAGAGACGGCTACAAAAAAGCTCTGAATAGTCAAGTTTGCTGCAAGGATCTTTGGTATCTTGATACTGGTAGGTAAGAGTATTCAACAAATATTTTTCCTTCAGGTAAATAAATACTTGAGCCCTACCTGTCTCTTGAGATTTAGTGTAAATGCCACTGCCTCTCTTTTCCATAATTAAAAAGGTATGGAAGAAATATTGTATGTAGATATTTCCTACTCCAAGAGAATTCCCTTTTTTTTTTCCCAAGAGAGTTTCTTAATGTCCCTTTCCTTGAGTATAGACTGGATTTAGTGACTCCCTTCCAAACCACAGAATATGGAAAAGGACCAGTAGTAGCTTAACAGTAGACAAACCTGGAAAATACCATCTTAATCAAATATTTGATTTGATAATCAAAAATAAGAATCAAATATTTGATTGATAATCAAAAATCAAATGTTTTCCTAGCGAGAACTCCCACCCCCCCACACACCTTTCTTTGTTAACATTAAACAGGCATCTGTACCTTGTTAAATTTCACTGTATAATGCTGAAGGAAGACAGAAGTGTTCAAATAATTGTAACTTCTACATTACAGGTTATGTTTAGATGTAGAACTAGCACTAATGATAGTCATGTTGAATCATTTAGCCCTGCTTCTCGTATGATGGGATAAGAAGAAACTTCACCTGTGTTACTGCAAAATCCATAACCTCATTCTGAGAAATTACCAACAAACCCCAAATGAGGGACATCCTAGACATTCTATATGAATAGCGCTCTTCAAAAACTTCAAAGTGATGGAAAACAAGGAAAACGAGGGTTCAGTTAAGGCTCAGTCAGTTAGTTAAGTGCCTGCCTTTGGCTCAGGTCATGATCTCAGGGTCCTGGGATTCAGCCCTGCTTTGGGCTCCCTGCTTCTCCCTCTCCCTCTGTGATCTCTCACTTTTGCTGTCTCTCAAATAAATGAATAAAATCTTTTAAAAAAACAAAAAACAAGGAAAGTGAGAAATAGTCACAAATTAGAGGAGACTAAGGAGACATGAAGACTAAATATAAGGTGGTACCCTAGATTGGATGGAACAAACACACACACACACACACACATTAGTTGGAAAACTGGTGATATCTGAGTAGTCTGTAGTTTAGTTAATAGTATTATTCCAGTGTTAATTTCTTAGTTTTAACAAATATGTTAGCATTAAGGGAAACAGTAAGGAGTATATGGGAACTCTGTGTTTTTTTCTGTAAATCTAAAAGTATTCCAAAATAAAGGATTTTTTAAAAAAGATTTATTTTTAGAGAGAGAGAGAGACTGCATAGAAAACATGGGAGGGGGCAGGCAGAGGGAGAGGGAAAGAATCCCAAGCAGTCTCCCAGCTAAGCATGGAGCCTGAGGTAGGACTAAGTCCCACGACTCTAAGATCATGACCTGAGCCAATATCAAGAGTCAGATGCCCAACCAACTGAGCCACCCAGGTGCCCCTGAAAAGATTTTTACAAAAGTAGTTCAACACTAAAAATTTTAAAATACGGAACTCATCCATTTTTTTCAATAAATACTTATTGATTGACACATGTCTATCAGGAATTTTTCTAGGTTGTTTTATATGCTGAGAAGTGAAACGTTACAGCAGTGAAAGGGACTGATATGATAATGTCCCTGATATCAAATAACTTATATTCTCGGAAAGTATGAGGGCAGCAGGATGACAGGCACTAATCAGACAAATTAACAAAATAAGTTCCGTTTCTGGTAAGCATGTGAAGATAGTAACATAGACCACTGGGATAGTAGATGGGGTACTGGTATAGGTACCACTGACTTCAGGGTGGGTAGTTAGAAAAGTATGAGACAGCATTTGGGATATAATCCAAATGGAGAGAAGATGCTATCCATGGGAAAGGCTAGAGGATAAACACTATAGCAAGGGTGAATAGCAAGTACAAGGGCCCTGAGATAGGAACACTTGGTACATTTGGGAACAGATTTGAGCTGAGTGGAAGAGGACAGTGTAGGAATGGAGGTTAGGGAAGTGACAGCAGGACAGATCATGTAAGGCCTCGCACATCATGGTAAAGTTTAGGTTGTTTATAAAGTACAACGGTAGTTTACTTACTAGTTGGAAGGAGAGATGTGTCGCAATCTGATGTATGTTTTGGAATGGGCACTGCATTTGTTTGGAAAATAAATTGTAGGTGAGCAAAAGTGCACACGGGGAGACCAGTTAGAAGTCTTTCACAGGAGTCTGAGAAGTCTTAAGACTACAGTGGTGCCAGTGGAGATGGGGAGGATATGGATATGGATATGTTTTGGAGTTCTTATTGACAGAATGGCTGATGAATTGGGTGTGGCATGTGGCACAAAGTGGGGAATGGAGGATGAAGTTTTTAGCTTGAATAACTTGGTGGTATTTCCATTTACTGGGTTGGGGAAGACTGAGGAGAATACCAGTTTGTGGAGAAAATTAAGTTTCATTTAGACTATGCTAAGTTTGAAATAAGGAGATTAAGTATGTAGTTGATGAATAAAGAAATCTGGAGGTCAGTCAAGAAATCAAATCTGGAGATGTAATGTATGTTGCTACATGAGAAAAGCAGATTCTAAAACATGCCTATGATTCCAGTTTCTTTTAAGCATATAAACAGAAAAATCTGGAAGTATACATTGTGTACCAAAATGTTATCTAAAAGGTGATATTCAGCATTTTCTGAAAGGTTTTTCTCTCATCTTTATTTTCTACAGAAGCATGTATTGCTTTGGTAATATAGAAACAGTTTACTTTTAAAATTAAGATAATTGGAAAATAATAAATGGAACAACTAAGTTAGAGACTAAATATTTTCTGTGGAAGAAGCACATACTAGTAAGCAGGAAAGAAATACAGAAATCCAACTTACTGATGCATCTTCGAAATTGGGAGTTGTTGCCTGAAGTCCAAGGATAAACTTTAGTCTCTGAGATTGGAAGAAAAATATGTGTGTATAGGTTTTTCTTGGCCGAATACATCACTTTCAACAGATTATCTAAGGGATCTATGACTAAGGGATCTGGCCAGTTTTCCCATAAACCTTTTCTTTAGACATGAATAGCTATCTAAAAGTAATTGTGGCCACTATCATAAGGTCCAAGTTTAGACTTTGCTTCTCCTCTTGATAAATTGGCATGAATTTGGGGGATTGGGGAAATGAGGGCTCTTCATCTTGCCTGTTTTCACTTTTAGTTAATCTTTGTGAATTTGTTAATATTTAAAAGAGTGGTTAATTCCATGAAGCTTTTATATGCAAAATAGCAGTCCTTTGCTCCAACCTTCCTCTCATTTTCTTTGCTTCACAATCATCTGCTTTCAACTCTGTTAAACAATTCTTTTGGTATTTACTTCCATATTTCCATATAACACAAATATATTGTTACTTTGATTTTTTTCAGTTTAGGCATAAAATGCTCACTTTCTACTCTGGAAATTAAGGATTTAATCTCTTCTTCCCATCATTCCTCGCCTCTCTCCTATATGCCTTTCCTACCCCCATTCTCTCAATATGGTTATACCATAATTTTGTTAGATGAGTATTCATTGTTTACATTATGACCACATAAACACTGTTTGCAGGTGAGCCATGTAGAATATTGTTATACTTTTCTTGCACAATTTTTTATTTGCCATGGATTAATAATTGTTACTTTTGTTTGTTTTAGATTTGTATGTATTTACCACTAATTCAATCCATACTCTGTTATTTGTTTAAATCTTCTCTGACTATGGTTAGATGCATCAGATATTCTATCAAATTTCATCGTCTTGAAGAAATTTCTCCTGCTCCAATCTGGGATGGTTGTCCTCCACAAATCGAGCCCAGCTATCATCTTGGCGTCTCCCTTCATCATCTTCCTGGGGATATCTTTTGCCTCTCACCTGTGCCGGATTCCCTGTTTCCTGGATTCCATAATTTTTTTCCCTTTCTTAGTTTACTTTTTCATTTTTTGTGGAACACATCCCAGGAAAAGGGTGCATAGGTGATAAATTTATTTTGAGATTTCGCCTTGTTTGGAAGTATGTTCAGTCTTTCTTCCACTTAATTGGCGATTTGCATGATAATAGAATTCTACACAGGAAGTCATTACCCTTCAAAATTTTGAAAGCATTGTTACACTGTATTCAAGCTTCTATGTTTTTGTTGAGAAACCCAAACCATTTCTTATTTTTGTTCTTTTTAAATGTGACCTTTCCCCTCACCCTTGATAGCTTTCAGGGTTTTTTTGTGGGATTTTTTTGTCCCTACTATTCTTAAATTTCATGGTGATGTTCTTAAATTTCATTGTGCTTCTATTTTTAACCCATTGTGTTGGGTACTTATTGGGCCCTTTCAGTTTGGAAACTCTTGTTCTTCAGTTCTGGGTATTTTCTTGATTTATTTCATTGATTTGTACCCTTCTGTTTTCTCTCTTTTCTCTACATGTGACTTCTATTATGTGGGTGGTGTACCTCTTGGACTTGTCTTCTTATTATTTCCTTGTATAGGTTGTCTTACTTTAAGAAATTTAAATAAACCGGATTGTGAATAGGATTATGGAGAAATCTACATGGGGAATAGTTGGAGGAACTAGGTTTACTTACCCTCTAAAACACAGTCATCAAATTTTTCTCTAATGGGCTAGATAGTGAATATTTTAGGCTTTGTAGGCCGTATGGTCTCTATTACAATGATGCAATTCTGCTGCTGTAGAAAAAGGAATGATAACTAATACATAAACAAATGAGCATCACTGTGTTTCAATAAAACTTTATTTACAAAAACACACCATAAGCCAGCCAGTTTGGTGACCCCTTCTCTAAAAAATACAAAAAGACAGATAATAGACTTGTTCAATATCTATAAGGATTCTATATAAGGATTAAATTATAGCTTACAGATGTCAACTCACTAGAAGAAAAAAAATTTCTTATATAACTGTCTAAAGATGGAATGTACTCCTTTAGGAATTCTGAGTTCTCTGAATTGGTAGGTAAACAAAAAGAGGACAAGGATAAAGTAGAAATAATCTCAGATTCTTTTTCCCGGCTCTAAAACTCTATGATTGTTATTTGTTTTGGAAATGTTGGTAATATTTTATACCAAAGTAGTTACTTGTTTGGGGTAGTACAAGTTTTGATAAGAGCGTATTAACTTCAAGAAGTTGTGATTTTCCAAAATATGTCCAAATCATCTTAGCGAACATTAACACTATTTCTGACTTGTATACTATTGGCTGAAAATTGCCTCATTAAAATTCTAAAAAACTTACAAAGAAGGTAAAATAATGTAGCTATAACTATAAAATACTTGCTTCCCCCGCCCTCCTTGTACTTCTGTGATTAAACATTTCTTTCTGATTCTGATGACACAAATAGCTTGGAGCCGGATTATTTTGTGTGTAGAGCTATTTGTATAAGGAACTAACTAAATAAATAGAATCAGATCCCCAAACTGTTTTCATTTGACCTAGGATAGCTATGTTTATCTGAGTAAATTTTCTCCTTCTTGTTAGACAGTTGAAATACTCATTGCTAATGTTTTCAGAGCCCTAGACCCACACAAACTATGTAGGCAAAATATTGATACATTGGAAACATCAACGTATAACGTCAATATTGTTCTTTAGAGAAACCGCCGGCACCATCACAAGTACAGCTGATCAAGGCCACTACCAACTCTTTCCATGTCAAATGGGATGAAGTGCCCACAGTTGAGGGCTATCTTTTGCAGCTGAATACAGACTTACCTTACCAAGCTGCGTCATCAGATTCTACAGCAACACCAAATATGCAAGGTAACATAATCTTCACCTGAAAGCATCCATGCTCATTTGCTTTTTTAAAAAGTTACTGCAGGAAAACCAGTGATTATGGCTTAGTTTTAAAAAATTTTTATGATGTTTCCTGCCTGGTTAATCAAGTATGTTGCGTTTCAACTCTGAAACTTGCCTGTCTTATCATTAAGCTGTGGTAGAATGCATAGATGTGTAGGATACAATGTTTTGTTTTTCTGCAGTTCATTCTGATGTACTTTCTTAATTTGACTTGATACTTGACTTCAGGAGATGGTTTTATTTAGCACATAAATAATTTCAGCTTTTTTAAAAGTATTTTTGTACAGTAACAGGCACTTAGAAACATTTTTAATTTTACATGTTCTTTTAGAAAGGATTTTAGTCAACTATTAAGCAAACTATGAAGAAAATAGATAAATTTTGATAAAGATACTTTTTAACCTTTAATACATAACTTCCAGAAATACTTGATTATATTTTATTGAAGCTAATTCAGAGCATGTCAGTATGAACTTTCTTATTCCTACAGGAGTCAGAATGGACCCTCACAGACAAGGCAGTAATAGCACCATTCCTAACAGTGTAAGTTAAAAAAAAATTTATGATGACAAATGAATGTTTAAGGTTAGAGTCTCAATTTTTATTCATATTTTTAGCATATTACCCTAGGACAGAGGTTCTCAACCCTGGCTGCATATTAGAATCACCTCTGAGATTAAAAAACAATCATACACAGAATCCCAGCCTTTTCCCAGATTTAGTGAAGCAGAATCTTTAGGATGTCCTCCATGTTATTTTTTATGTTCCACAAGTAAGTGAAACCGTATGATAATTGACTTTCTCTGCCTGACTTATTTCACTCAGCATAATCTCCAGTCCCTTCCATGTTGATGCAAAGTTTGGGTATTCATCCTTTCTGATGACTGAGTAATATTCCATTGTATATATATATATATATATATATATATATATATATATGGACTACATCTTTATCTATTCATCTGTTGAAGGACATCTTGGCTCTTTCCATGGTTTGGCTATTGTGGACATTAAGGAGGGCATGTATTACATTGAGCACCGGGTGTTGTACATAAACAGTGAATCTTGGAACACTGCATCAAAAACTAATGATGTATTTTATGATGACTAACATAACACAATTAAAAAAAAAAACACTTTAGGATGATGCCCAGTTAACTGTGGTTTTAAGGAACACTCCATAGATCATTATGACAGTAGCCTAGGTTAAGAATCCCTAACCAAGAAATTGAAGTCTCCCCTCACTACACATAGCTTCAGAGGCTAATCCCTTAGAGTTTATACTTACAGTATCTTGAAATCTATCTTTTTGACATTTCTAAATGTCACACACACTCATTTTAAATTTCAACCAATACTTCGAAAATGGATGTGAAATATATTTCTTTACTATGTACTTTGCCGACCAAAGAATATGAGTTGCTGAATTGAGCACTGATGTTTGTGAGGTTCCTTCTTGTTTATGAAGGGCTTCACAATAGATATTTGTAGAGACTAATGAGTAAGATTACTAGGGTTTACCCTGGTTTTATATGGCAAACTTCTGTCTAAATATACATTAGATTGTTTTCAAGGAAAATGATGTAGGCATAAGCGCATGCGTTCTGAACATGGCTGTATGATGGACAAATATCTTTAGGGCCATAAGAAGTTGTAATTGACTATAGAGGTATAATTAACAATCAAGATGGAGACAGAACAATAACAAAAAACAGGTAAGTAAAAAGAGGCAGCAATATTGGGGTTTTTGAATGAAGCCACATCACTTTTATGGTGCAGTAGACCCATAGGTATTGCTATGTAGTAGTAACTGATACTCACAATGATCTGAATTATCAAAAAGTCTAAATATATTCATTATAGTATGTATAAGAAGACAGAAACAGACTTAGAAAGATTCCTGTCTAAAATGTTTAATGGTAAAGAATATTGATACATGTATGTGTTAAATCTTGATCTCTCTTTGGAAAACTCAGTCATACAGAGTAATTCATTTGCTTGAACTGAGATTTTATTTTTAGGAGTCATCAAATCTTTAATATCCTTATTGACCTTGTTAAGAAAATTTGACAAAAATGTTAAACTTGGTAGCTTTGGCGTTGTCTCCTGTGTTACATACGTATTTACTTGAATACTACTACCACTTATAAAAATGTTGTTTTTTTTTTTCCCCTCAGAATATACCCTCCCATTCCCCTTCCGAACCTGGTCTATTCAGAATGGAGATTAAGTGAAGAAATTGTTTTCTTAAACTACTGTAAAATTTAAAGAATAATCCTGTACAAATTAAGAATATAATTTAAACTGTTTTATATCTTGGTAAATTTATTTTCAAAAGCATTTAAGTTGTAAATTATTTTGCTTATTTTTTACATGTATTATTATTAATTGAACATTGCTTCCTATAATAAACTATTTTATTTCTTATAGATCAGTGATACAATGAACAGTACAAAAACTGAATATACAGCTATGAAAGGAACTTCTGTGAAAAACAGACCAGATCTCAAAGCATCAACTGATTCTAACGCTACTTTACATTCATCTTTGGCAACTAATGCTTCTAATCATCATAGTTGTGTCGTGGATGTGCTAAGGAAAAACGAAGGTATAAAGATGGCATTTTAAATAAACCTTTTTACAATAGTAGGGAATTTTGACTTTGGAAAAGTAAATGTTCTATGGTTTTGATCCATTTTCAAAATAATAATAAGCTTTCCATATTGACTCTAGTTGGAGATACCAAGATACCAAGGAACCACTTACCTGAATAGTAATGCTTAGTTATGAGCTACAAAATTCAGATGAGGCAAGCTCTTATATGACATTTGAGGTTGGCCAGTATTGCACTGTCCCTTTCCCATTACTGTATTTTCTTAGCACTTAGAACTATCTGAAATTATTTGTTTTGGGCAAAGATTTTCTTGTTCATTTCTATTTCCTCAGCACCTGAATCCATGCCTGGTTAATAGTAGTCACTTAGTAAATATTTGTTTAGCAAGTAACTGGATTATCCTCAGAAAGAGTTCATTTATGAGAACTGTTGATTACATTCATGGGACAGCTTGTAATTCGGTGAACTTTGTAATGTAAAGTGAGTTCATTTGAATATTCTCATGCCATTTGAAATACATTAAGCATTGTGCCTTATTTAAATATCTAAAATTATTTTATAAATCTCATTCTGATATGTCTGTGACATAGACACACGTGACTGTATTTTTAATTTGAAAACATCGTGACAGCTGATAAAAATCTAAATCCTCTTCCATAATGCAAACTTAACAGTATGAGTATTATTTTTATTAACATTTTTCTTCATGAGTCCATGATAGATAAAGTATTCAAGGAAAATAATTTGCTGTCATTTTTCCTCCTTTCATTATGTGTGGAAAAAGAGAACACTTTTGTTTTCTTGATTTTCTGACGGAATGATTTGCTCAAAATTATAAAAGCCTGGTCCTGGGCTGCAGCTTATATTTCTGTCTTCTTTTTTTTCTTTTAAGATTTTATTTATTTGTCACAGAGAGAGAGAGAGAGAGCACAAGCAGGGGAATAGCAGGCAAGGGGGTTAGGGAGAAACAGGCTTCCCGCTGAGCAGGAAGCCTGATGAGGGACTCAGTCCTAGGACCCTGGGATCCTGACCTGAGCTGAAGGCAGATGTTTAACCAACTGAGCCACCCAACCACCCCTATTTTTCTTTCTTTTTTTTTTTTTTTAAGATTTTATTTATTTATCTGACAGAGATCACAAGTAGGCAGAGAGGCAGGCAGAGAGAGAGAAGGAAACGGGCTCCCTGCTGAGGAGAGAACCTGATGCGGGGCTCTATCCCAGGACCCTGGGATCATGACCTGAGCCGAAGGCAGAGGCTTAACCCACTGAGCCACCCAGGCGCCCCCCTATTTTTCTTTCTTACAGTGATTTTCTATGTCTGTCTTATAAAGAAGTTTATATTCTTAGAAAACAAGAGCTTTGAGATTTCAGATGCAATCTAAATCCTACATTGTAAGGCAGTTTGCATAAAATTAGTACTAGGCAAATTGGAAAACCATAGTGGTTGTACAATGACTGTATCTGGCAGACATTCAAATATATGAATGAATGGCTACCCAATGTCAGGACTTTTTCTCTGTAGGTTAGAGTAGCTGGTATGTTTCAAAAGTGGGAAGAGTGACATGATTCGTTGTTGTTGTTCTTGTTATTGTTCTTATTGTTTGAAAAGAACACTCTGGGGACGCCTGGGTGGCTCAGTTGGTTGGACGACTGCCTTCGGCTCGGGTCATGATCCCGGGGTCCCGGGATCGAGTCCCGCATCGGGCTCCCAGCTCCACAGGGAGTCTGCTTCTCCCTCTGACCTTCTCCTTGCTCATGCTCTCTTTCACTGCCTCTCTCTCAAATAAATAAATAAAATCTTTGGAAGTCACCTATGCTCACCACTATTCCACCAACGCGTAAATAAAATCTTAAAAAAAAAAAGAAAGAAAGAAAAAGAAAAGAACACTCTGGCCTCACCATCAGAACTATAGTAGGAAATGATTGGGAGGCCCGATAGGGTGTTCTTTTAGGACTACAAGAGACACAGAGACTAAAGCAGTGGGTGGGATGGAGAGGAGAGAATATATCATTTCTCAGACTTTTTTAGCCTTGGAAACTAGTTGGGTATGAGAAATAAAAATGAGTTGACCATGACTCCTAGTTTTTTGGGTTGGAAATTCAATGGATGATGATACTCGTTATCAAGATAAGAAATACAAGAGCAAGGACAGACTTGGGGAAAAGGTAAGTTCAACTTTGAATTTAGTGTTTTTGAGGCACTGAAGAACATACTGGTAAAGATTTCTAATGGTCAGTTGGATACTTAGGTGTAGAGTTTAGGTAGTAGTTTTTAGCTGGAAGTAAAACTTAGAAATTAAGGGTATCTAAAATATAAGCTCCAAGACAAGGGACCTTGTCTGACTTGTTTACTGTGAGATTTCTAGCACCTCCCACAGTGCCCAGGACATAGGTATTTGAGAAATTTATGATTTGTAAATGGTAGTTAAAGCATAGGAAGATATGTAAATGGAGAAAAGGGAAGGCTTGGAACGCCTGCATTTAAAGAGTCATTTTAAGAGAAGAAACCAACTTAAGAGATTGGAAAGCAGTTCCTAGAAGGTCAGGAAAAGAACCAGAGATTGGTGTCCTACTTTTTCTGGGCATCACAGTTTGTGACTATATATTTATTGTGTGTGCTTGTCTTTCTCTATCACATGATTATAACTTGATGAGGTATTAACCATGCCTGCTTTGTTTCAGCATTGTAGAAAGAAGCACGATATCTGGTAAATAGCAAATCTCTGGTGTTGTGGAATGAGTAATTATAAATCATAGAAAGAAACAGCTTCAAAAAGGAGTATGTGGTCAGCGTTGTTTACATTGCAGAAAGGTCAAGTAAATGGAAATCGAAAGGCATCCTTTAGAAATCACTGATATTTGCCAGAGCCATTTCATTAGAGTAGTGGTCTAGAAACCAAGTTTGAGGAGGTCAAGGAAGTAGAGACTTCTCTGAAGGGAATTAGTGAGGGGCTAAGGTAACTGGAGGAGATTTGCAGGGTCAGAGAAGATGCATGCTTGTTTGCTTGAGAGACCTGATAATGTTTATGGACCAATGGCCAAAAACTACTAATGAAAAAGAATCTGAAAACCCTGAAGAGAAAGGAATGATTGATGAAAGAGGTTCCCAAAATGGGAAGGAATGGGACCAAGAGCACAGGAGGATAAATTATCCTTCTTCAGGAGAGAGGTCAGTTCATCCTCTGAAGTGGAAGAGAAGACAGAAAGGATGGGCACAATCACAAACATATTTCTAGTTTAGGGCAGGAGAGGCAGAAAACCAAGGGCATGCATTCCTGATGACTTCTATATTTTTCCCTAAAATGAGAAGCAGGGCATTTGATCTATGATTTAGGAGAGTCCAAGAACAATGATTCAGTGCTTAGAGTAGAAGAAGGAGCTGAGACGTTGGACATCTGCTATCTGTATAGTGCAGTTTATTTTTCTAAACATTTTATGCCTAGTGGTTAATTCATATGAATGACATGTACGGTACTCATGTTTGTATTTTTAAAATTGAAAATAGCAAGAATTGTATGACAAGAACCATAAGACAGCACAATTATTGCAGGAATTATGTTAACAATTGATCTTTTCACTTTAATTTTAGGTCCTCATACTTCAGCAACTATAGGTGTTCTAAGTAGTTGCCTGGACTTAAGAACAGTAATCCCCGAAACTTCTGTATCCAGTTCTGTTTCCAGCGCACAAACTATGGTAACCCAGCAGACCATTAAAACTGAATCATCCAGTACAAATGGGGCAGTTGTTAAAGATGAAACTTCACTAACAACATTCAGTACCAAATCTGAAGGTTTGAAATGTGTTTCACATACTGTATTTTGAACCATTTTTGTATATAAATTCATCAAACTTATTTGTTTAGATGGGAATTGCATTTCATCTTGGATTGAATCATATATAAAGAGATAAAACATTTCAATGAAAATTATTATATACTCTGCTGCCTTCCATAAATATTTAAATCAGCACACACTGAAATACATTCAGAATGTATTTATCCTACTGTGAATATGTTCAGCAGATTTTTTTTTCCCCGTAGAAAAGATTCATTCTTTAGACTTTGGAGTAACAATTCTCCCAGCTTGATTGATTTCTGATTTTGCAAATTCTCATTTCATTCTTTTGCAATAGGACTTGTGTTTCATCTTTGGTAAACATTCTCTGAAGTTCTAGTTAGTCTTCAAACCCTTGAGAAGTGAACTTTGTGAATTAGTTCGAGTTAGAGGGTCCATATTTCTAATTATTGTGCTTTTCTCCCTCTGGCTCTTTTTTGTATGTTTATAAATTATATTTTAATGTGTCTGTTTGCAAAGTGATTACGTAAGTCTTATATGATGAATTGTTTGGTTTTTAGTTGATGAAGCATGTGCATTGCCTGCATCTAAGATCAGCCGTGTAGAAGCACATGCTACAGTGATGCCATTTTCTGTAAGTATCTGACCTGAAGATCATACGTGTTTAAAGGTTGGATGCTGAGCAACTTCAGCATAAATTCATGAAAAGATTCTTGGGTGTCCTCTGGTAATGACTTGCCAAAGACTGAAGAATGAAGGCTTGAATAGAAAAAATGTTTACAATATAATGTTAAGTGAAAAAAGCTGCATAAAAATTTGTGTGTATATATATAAATACATATATTTTTATATCTATATACTATGATCCCAACTTTATTAAAAGATACACACGATACATACATTCTCACTCTCATGTGAGTCCACGTACATCCACACTATAATGCTAGGTGACTTTCTCCAGGCTCTGTGGCCACAGATAACTTTTACTTAATCTCTCTGGCCCTTCAATATTTTTGTATAGTGAAATGTGCTGCTTTTATAATCAGAAATATGAGTGTGTGTATGTGTACATGTATATGTAAGTTACATTAATGTCTTAAAGAGTAAAAGGACATATTACAGAATATAAAATTTCAGTGGCTCTATTGCTAGCTATTAATTGGGAGAACAGCAGGATATTGCAGTATTGGGTGGTTAGACATACCTATAGGGTAACCCAATAATCTCTGACATTGAGTTGTTTTATGAAAGGCCAAAATTAGTCTGTAGCTTAACTTAAAATGCTAGGTATGTGCCTCACAAATACACCATGATTGTCTTAATGAGGTAAATATAAGGGTAATATATATGTGTGTGTGCATGTGTGTGTGTGTATATACTTCTTAATTTATTTTAAAATTATCCATCATTGCGATTTTATTGCTATGAGCAAGAGTTTTTATTTGACCTAATATTTACCTCTTGGAATCCTTAAGAATTGTCCGTAGTTTTGGTTTTCTTTCAATCATGATTTTATGGATTTTGATCAGATATTTACCTTTATCAGCTTTCACCTTTCCAGAATATTAAGTCCTAAAGTTCTTAGGGAAGAACTCTTCTCAGGGAAGAATTATTAAAGGGAACCTTTTCCCTCCCAAATCTGTTTTGCAACACATCAGCCAGAATGGTATTTGTTATTTCAGTTGGAGCCAGTTGTTTTATAAAAGTTGTTGAAGAGAGTTTTTACAACTTTAAAAATGAAAGCAAGTTTAAAGATACTCCTTTAAAAAAAAAAAACAAAACCTGAAAGACTTTTTCTAGGTAGCTCACTTTGTCATGTGTGATAGCCTAAATAATAAATAATGTGAATTATAAGCATGTACCTCTGCTGTTATATATTTAAGACAGAAATAAGTAACTGAAATGCACATTTGTTTTGAGCTTCTGGAAACAGTGTCTCATTTATAAAGAAGATGGCTTAAAAAGGTTAGTTCCAGGGATAAGTATAATTCACTTATCACTAAAAATAGCTTAAGGTAGAGGAAGTTTCTTTGTTTTAAAGCAAGGTAAAAAACGTAAAACTGTTTAATCTCCTCTTTAATATATACTAAAGTATATTCAAATTGCATTTTAGTTTTGAACATTTTTTCTCCTTTTAGGTTTGGAGAATCACAGGTATTTAAATCAAGTGCAAAGGTCACTGAATTTCTGCTAGTTGTTTTTGAATCTAGAAATAAGCCAGCTTGGAATGAATTTTTCCTTATTTGCTCCTTTTGGAGCAAGGTATAATGTCACACTAAAGGGATTACATTTTCTGAGAGGGTCTCTGAAATGACAATGTTCTATAAAACAGCTGGCATTTTAATATATCACTGATTGAAAAGCATGCTAACTCCAGCTAGGTTGATAGTACAGAGCTACTGACTTGCAGAATGCCTGTCACTCCCTGTGTTTGAATTGGCATCCCTGTTTCACTGTCAGTTGTCCTAATCTGTTAAGAGTTTATTTACTTATGAGCTTTTAATGTTGTGGTGTTTACCCATATGCCTATTTGTAGATCACTGCATGGATTTATTGAATCTGGAAGTTTCTTAAATGCACAGTAAGAGTCCTGATAATTTTTTCTTTCTCTGAAATTAGAAAGAGACTCCTTCAAATCCAGTGGCCACAATGAAAGCAGGAGAACGACAGTGGTGTGATGTAGGAATTTTTAAAAATAATACAGCTTTGGTGAGCCAGTTTTATTTGCTGCCAAAAGGAAAGCAAAGCATCTCAAAGGTAGCTATTGATATATTTCCTACCCTGTGAGTTATAAATTTCATGAATGAGATCTTTTTTTATAGCCCTGATTCAAGTCACTTGAATGCATGAAATTGAGATCTGTCCACAATCTATAATTGAGAGTTCTATCTATATGCCTAATTATTTTGTATTCTTTATTAAGGCACTTTTATGGAATATATCACGAGCAGGTCACTTAAAAAACCTCATACAATCACTGGGCTGGATTTTGAGTCATAAAGAATATGGTCTGGCCAGTACAGATAAGGATTTTTTGAAGGATCTCTAATTTTGTTACCTGGTGTGTTTAGAGAATGGAACATTTTTTCTTACTGAGAACTTTTTCTTTTTTTTTTTAAGATGTATTTTTTATTTCGCATGTGAGTGCGCAAGTCAGGGGAGGGGCAGAGGGAGAGAAGCAGTCTCCACACTGAGCGTGGAGCCTCCATCTCAAGACCTGGAGATCATGACCTGAGCCAAAATCAAGAGTCTAATGCTTAACTGAGCCACTCAGGTGCCCTTTTACTGAGAGCTTTTTTCAATTCTTGATTTTACAACTTAAAAAATTTAAGAGCCCCTGTAGGTTATTGAAATACAGTCTAATTTTTTCTTGATTCTGAAACCCCATAAAGAAAAACTCATATATATGAATTATGAAATCAGTAACCCTAAGAATTATGAAATCAGTAACAGCTCCAAAGCACATTTGAACTGATTTTTTTCTGAAATGGGGAATTTCAGAGAGTGAATTGCCTAGACCTACATAAATGGAGAACTTATCATTTATCATTACATTTATCATTACATTTTAGTTTCTCTGATATCTCTCTTTCATATAGAATTCCTCCCAATTCTTGACAAAAATAGAAATCCTCATTAGTAATTTTTTAGTATTTTACTAATGAAATTTCTGGCAGTAGTTTGATTTCATATATAAGGAAATAACAATATCTAAGGGCCTAGTAACTACCTGTTTTTCCCAAAAGAAAAACAGCATAAAATTTAGAACCAGTAAACTTGGGTTGGAATCCTTAGTTGCCGGGCTCTACAGTGTGACCTCAGACAAGTCACCTATTTAACCTCCCTGAGACTCAGTTTCCTCATCTATAAAATAAAAATGATACCGCTCCCTTAAAAATGGGAATGATACATTAGCACTACCTGCCTCACAGTGGTGCAGTGAGAGGGAGAACATGTAAAAACTGTTTGAAATTTGTGAATGTTATGAACTTCCTACCCAGAATATGCAGTTGTTTAACATTTTATTCAGCATCTGCCAAATATTAATTTTTAAAATGCTCTATACTACATGCTGGTCACTTCTCTTCTGTCAAGCTTGCTTGCCTATATCCAAAGGGTATTGTTCCTGGTTAGACTATTTGAGAATAATTCTTCTGAGATTTCTACTCTAATTGGATACAATTATCCATGTAAAGTGATTGTTACTTTGTTTATAGTGGTTGTCAGGTTTTTCCTACCTTCATATTGTGCAGAACACACATCAATTTCTTTTTATAATCAGTGATTTTTAACTGGAAACAGTACTTTTCCTATGGATAAGAATCACCAATCCATGGGCTTAGTTGCTTTTGTACTGGAAGGTTTATTCCAATACAAGGGAAATAAATGTGAACTAGAACCATAAAACATGATTCATTCTTTAAAAGTTTTCTTGTTGAATGACAAAATGATGAATTGCACCTTTTGACTTTTGCATGTATTACATTTTAGATAGGAAATGCAGACGCACCTGACTACAGTTTACTTAAGAAACAAGATCTGGTTCCAGGCACAGGATACAGATTCAGGGTTGCTGCCATCAATGGTTGTGGAATAGGCCCTTTCAGCAAAATCAGTGAATTTAAAACTTGTATTCCCGGTTTTCCTGGAGCTCCTTCTGCAGTCAGAATTTCAAAGGTGAGATGTCAGGTCAAGGCTTGGTGATTTAGTTATCGAAATTTTGTACATGAAGTGAAACTATCAGTTTAGAGTTTCTTGTTAGTATCTGATAAAATGAGAGGTATCTAAAAGGGGTGGGTAAATGTACAACTGAAACTAATGTAATGTGTATGTCAACAGTACTTGAATTAAAAAAAAAATTTAGGTCTTAAATAAAAGGGGTGGATTATAAATTTAAAAAATGTTTGCTATTCACTCATAATCTTAAGGACCAAAGTTGAAGCAGAATTACAGCATCCAAATTATAGAGAGTCAGGGAAATCTGGTATTCATCTTAATATTAACTTTGTTCTTATTGTATGGAACCAAAAAGTTTGTGCTGGAGAATTCTAATAGAACACATGAAATTGAATTATATTTTATCCTAAGGTCCTGCCCCTCTTTAGAGAAGAAAAGATCTGCTTTCAGGTAAGAAAAACCCCTTTCTTAGGATGGTACAGGCAGACATTTAAGCCTAGTTATGATATTGAAAAGTGGGCATGAATTAAACATTGTAGATCCAATTAGGTTTTTAAAAATCAATAATAAAAGTTCTAGTACCTAATGCAATTACTTCAGCGGAAAGCATTATTTTGTGTTCTAAAGATAGACTCAACATTATAAGTGATATTAGAGAAAACTCTTTCAGAACCTTTACCTGGTTTTGTTTTGTTTTGTTTTTCTCCTCTCTTCAAGAATGTTGAGGGTATCCATCTCTCCTGGGAACCTCCAACTTCCCCTTCTGGAAATATTTTGGAATATTCAGCCTACTTGGCTATCCGCACAGCACAAATACAAGATAATCCAAGTCAACTTGTGTTTATGAGGATTTATTGTGGTCTTAAGACATCATGTATAGTAACTGCCGGGCAGCTTGCAAATGCACATATCGATTATACATCCAGGCCTGCCATTGTGTTCAGGATATCGGCAAAGAATGAAAAGGGATATGGACCAGCTACACAAGTTCGATGGCTTCAAGGTAACAATAAAAAAGCACCTTTAAATTGAATTTTTTTTTTTACTGAAGCTATTGTGATGATTATTTATTAGTAACTGGTTTTGAAGATTTGTCATTTTAAAGAGTATTCTCTGACTGTATTTCTAGCACTTATGAGTTTGAGTTTGTAAGTTGTTCTTAAAATGTATTTGCTCAATTTTAGATCCAAATAAAAATAGAAAAGAAGCAAAGACTCTCTGAAAATTAGTATATGGATTCGTCCTTACAGTTACATAACTGCTTTTTTATAAAGTAAAATAGTAAAGATAAAAGCTAGAAGGCTTTATTACCCCAATATCTTTTCTAAAGGCCATGTAACTCAGTCATCCTAGAGTTATTGAGATGATTCTAGTAACTGGCTGTTGTACACTGCGCTGTCTTACATAGTAAATATTCTCTTCGTTGTCAAGGACCCGTCTTTGACTACTCCCTTTAACTTTATTATTCTAGATGAGCAGCGGTCCTATTAACACCTATCTTCTAGTGAATAACATTTGTGATACTAATTTTGATAGCCGCTATTTGATTCATTTCTTTGTCTACAGTTAGCACAAAGCTTAAGAAATTACAAAAGAAAGAAAGAAAGAGGAGAGTTTAGAAACTCTGATTTTGAATTTTTATTATTTTCCAAGAATCATGGCAAAATACAAAAAAAGTAATGGGTTTTCTTGATTCATACCTGATATATTGGAATACATTTTTGGCCAAAGCACTTAACTTACCCAGTCCTTGGTTTCCTTGTTAATAGAAGACAGAGTTAAAATAATTTACGTTTAAGGTTTCTTTCAGCACTAAAATTCTGTATTTTCGTCAGAAGCAAAGTATATCTGTGAACATTTTAACATCTGTCTTAATGGCTTTAACTTTGCTTTTGCTGAAATTAAGAAAACCTTCATAATTTAAAATTCAATATTGAAATACATATGTCCTCCTCACTGCAGAAAGAAAGAAGCACCTTAACAGAACACAAGTTTTGAAATAGTGTTTTAAACATTTGTAAGATTTTTGTAAATGCTCTAAATGTTTTATTTTTGCATTGTTTTTACCTCAAAATTGTATAAACTTTTTTACAACTGAAATATAAACATTAGACAGCTCACTCAGGTCCCACTGCAACCTTAAAGATACAGATAGGCATGATGGGTCCTCTGCCACAGGTAGCTTGTTTTGAACCTTTTTGGAATGTCATGGTTCCACTGCCTGTTCAGATCTGGAATGGAAATACAGAGCAATAAATGCAGAAAAGGTAGTTCACACTACGAGCTGCAATAACCGCGCGGGCCCAGGCCTGTCTTTTTTATACCATGTAACCTTATGCCAGTTTAGGTTGACTGAGTAGCTGTGTCCTCGAGCGTCACCTAGAATACTCCCAGCCAAGATGGATTTAATTGTGCAGAATTGATATATATGTATGTTCCAGTTACTAATTTAAAGTGTATAGAATATTTTAATATATAATTTTTGTAAAGAACTGGGATTTTTATACTACAGTATTTGTAATTAATGTGTCTCACTAATTAAGTTTCTCTTGAAGAAAATATGCAAACTGTTAGACACGTAATGAGTGATTTCCAAACTCTAAAGGTAAAATAAATGCACTACTCTGGTGTTGTTAGAATACCTTTTTTGTGGCTGTATGAATCTTTAATCTTTAAATGTGTATTTTACAAATAATGTTTACAAGGAGCTTCTCTGGTTTGTTATGTCAGCACCTCCCTTGGTGAGAGCTTCATTCTGCATTTGTTAAATTCATATGCTTTGCTTTTAGCATATGCTTGCTTTTTGCACTAGTAGAATTTTAACTTACCTCATTATTATGTTTGTAATCATTTGTATAGCTTCCACAATATGTCTGATATAGGCTAAACAAATACTTAACCAAAGTTAAAATAAATGGTAAGCAATTTTGCACATATTAAATGCTAGGGTTTGTTGTGTATATGTGTGTGTTTAGTTATAAAAAGAGTAAGAATGGAAAGTTAGAGTATATGTTTCAAGTCCGATTATTTTAATGATCTGTTTGCTTTATTAGAAAAAGGTCTCGCTTTTAACTCCTTATTCTCTGCATTAACAATTTGCGTCTCAAGGCGTTTCTCTTAATGACAAGGACTAAGTTGACTTTAAGCAAAGAATAGAATATTTGAGTGTGCACATTTATACCTATTTAGTATTCGGTTTAGTTTACTTTGCTTACATGCCTCAACTGTGCTGTGAACCTGTGGTTCTAACATACATTTTATTTTCTAGAGAGAAAGGCATTCTTTCTGTTTACCAAGGGATTTGTGAAAATAACAAATGTTTTTACTTTGAGGATCAGCCCAGATTCTGTTATCATTTTTTGGCATTTGTACATTAAGCCGCAGTCACATTTATGGGTGACTAAAAAAATGCCATTGAGAAATCTCTGTGGCTTGACATTAATAGTTAATAATAGATCTTCAAGCTGTGTGTTCATGAATAGAATGGATTAGGGTAAATAACAAGAGAAGTGCATTTAGCTTCCTATGTTTTGCACATTTTCTGAGTGAAGATCCCTGAGTAGCAGTGGGCTAGATCATGCTGATACCTTTCATAAGAGGATTTATGCTGAGTTAAATGACTTTCTTTCTCCTCCCTACTGGATAGGTAATTCAGATGTACAAACCTTTGTGCCACAGTCCTCTTCCTGGGCTCTAAAACTTTAGTTCACATGTGTAGTAAAAAGATTTTGATGTTGCATGCTCTTAGAATTATGTTTTCTAAAATATTGTATTGGCTTCATTTTAGTTTAGTAAACTGTTTTGGCAATTTAACTAGAAATAGGGTATTATAAACTCATTTTTATCCACTTAAAAAAAACAACAACAGAAATAATCTGATTGCATGTATGAGGCCCCCTTGCCCTGTAACCCAATTACATAAATACAATCATCTATAAGAAAGTAAAACTGTTGATCCATTATTTCAGACTTGTAGCCTAGCAAGGATTTGTTCTGGTTAGAGAGACGGTCTACTATAAATGAAGGTATTTTTATTTTTAAAAATTGCAGCACTTGTAGCATAAAATTCATTTGTAACATTGGCTATGAAGAGATAATTAGTATTTAAAGTTATTGTCGTAATATGACCATGAATGAAATAGGTTGCAAAATAGACTTGGTCTTTGACTGCTTAAGGTATAAGTGACGGTCAAGTTTTCCAGGACTGATTTTAGGCAGTTTTATGTATTATGTACCAATGATATGTAAAATAAAGCACCTTTTCTATTATAATCAATTACAGGTGTTATTTATTTTGAACTCTATGAGAGAAAAATTAGTGATTGCAGAGTAAATCTGTAGAAATATTGACTTTATATTGTTCACTTAAAATAATATAGGCAGTCTCATAAAGAATAGGTTGTCTCCCAAAACTTGTTTTTAAGTTAGTGGATTGTGTTCGGAATCATGTTCTCATAGAAATGTAACCTGTATCTCTCTAACCCTTTTTGTGGCTGAGCTCGTGCGCAAAAAGGCATGTGACTCCAGGAAATAGATCTAAAGTGTTGCCATCTCTTTTTTGTCCTTTGTTCACTCTTAATCTTTTGTCTTTATGCTTTACACTCACTTTCATTCACAGCAGCCAGACTTCTGTCCTGCTACTCCATCAAAATGGCTCTAGCCAAAGTCCAGGATAACTTCTCATTTCCCAAATCTGGTGATAACTCTTGTCCTTCGTAACTCAGCCGCTCCCTGGACACTTGGACATTTTCTTGAGTTCTGTGATACTCCTCGCTCGCTCTTTCCATACCTCCTCCTGTCTGTAATCCCCTCTTCCACTTGCACCTGCCTCCATTCATTTTTTTTCAAGACTCAGGTCCTTTTTCAGGATTTCAGTATGGAGCCTTTCTTGACATGCCCCATATCCAGGTAGATTTGCCCTCTTCTTGTGCCCCCACTATCCTTTGTCAATCTTCTGTCATAGTAGCCTAAAAAACATTGTATCCTTACTCGTTAGCATTGTTATCCCTCTTTGCCAAAATGGTGGTAGGTCTTTGAGGCAGAGACTGGGTCTTTACATTTCTTACATATCGGCCACTTAGCTGGTACTTAAATAGGTTAACACATGGTTAAAGAAAATTGTCATTTTTACATCTCTCCATATTCTCACTCCCCTCTCCCAAGTTGGGGTGAAAAATGGGAGGGAGGCTTTGATAAGGAAAGAGATTTTAGCAGGTTAGTAAGCCTCTGGGGGAAATACTAACTCTAGCTTTGTCTTATCCTACCCTGCTCTTACTTAGGTTCCTAAGAGAAGTTCTGGGATAAATAAACAATGTGTCACATGTGTCCTGAGCTAAAAGGGATTTAATCTAGGTATGCATAGATCTCAAGTGGAAGTTTTTGATCTAAAAAGATCTGAGCATTTAGTGAGATTCTTGGGATATTGCTGAATTTTGATTTTTAACATTGGATGATCCAGAAAATGAGCTAAAAATATTTCCAAACTATTTCCTTGTAGGAAAGCCATGGACAATTGTCTAGTATTAGGGAAAAAAACCATACTTAATACTTAAGCACAGGGACTTCTGGAAGACATGGAACATGAGCATTGACACATACCAAGTTAGGCCACTGTTGTCACGTCTAAGTTTATTTCTTACCCACTAGAAAACAATATGACATTGGCACAACTTCCTTCCACATTTCCCAGTTATAATTCAGAGTCCTTGTACTATTTCTCTAACTCAGGAAGACTTTTTTTTTTTTTTTTTGGTCATGCCTGGAAAAACATGAACTACACCATTCTGGGGAGAAATAAACTCTATGAACTGAATGGAGAAAGAAAAGGCTATAAAATCCAAGGATACCAGCCTCCTTGTTCCAAATAGATTTCTATATCTTACTATCTCTTTGCTTCTTTCCTATCCTCTTGAGGAACTAAAATTGAAAAAAAAAAAAAAAAAAAAAAAAAAAGTCCAGTTGTGAGATTGTTAATTTCAGCAAGCTCATCTGAAACTGTTAGGTTCTTTTGTGTATTTAGTATCTTGGAAAAGTTGAATTGGGGGGACTGTTATTTAAAGGTCATCATATGCACAATCTGACTACCACTCCTGCCAGAGGCTCACATTCAAAGTCTTGAGAATATAGGGCTATGAAGCCTGTGGCCTTAGATAGAAGACTAGGAAGTCATAGGTATGAAAGTATGGAAGCAACAGAAGGATACACTATTTCCTGATTTGATTTTGCTGGTTCAACAAAAAGTCTTTGCAGGGTATTTAGGAATGTCAGGGTGTTTCCTCCTGAAGATAAAAGCATCAGAAGAATGAGTTAGTGGCATATCAGATACGAAAGGTGTTGCAGAGAAGGAAATGACCCCCTTCCTACCCATTCCCCCTTCCTGGTCTCCTTAGCACCCACGGATAAGAAACTAAAGGACCCATCATTCCTCAGCATGAGAACTGAGGAAAGCATGGGAGAACCTGTTCTGTCTGAGCATACACAGGTTACAAATAAAAGGAGGTGGTATTTGGTTTTGAACGTGGGATAACTCTGTCCACTGGTAAATCATGATCCAGTGGACATCCAGCTCTGACCAAAAGGATTATTCATTTCTTGAGTCCGAGGAGACAGAGTGGAAGTTCCTTAAGAACTTGAGAAGGGTTCCCTCCTAGTTTCTCTGTCTCTTATTGGAGGGGGAGGAAAAAGCAGTACGTATTAATACTGACCATCCGGAATAACAAAGGTGTAGGTGTGCCACTTAGGGCAGCACAGTGTGTGAGACGGTGTCAGCGTTCTGATCCAGAGTCATCCCCCCCAACCCTTCCACCGCCGGGGTAGGGGTGGGAGCTGCAAGACGGTGGAATAGGAGGACCCAGAGCTCAGCCCGTCCCACCTTCACGAAGTCCTCCTGCCACCAGTTGCAGTGTAGCACCCCTGGTGGCATGTCCCTTCCAGCTTAAATATGAGTGAGATTTAAGGTCTTGTAGCTGCCTGGGACTTTTACAATAGCTACAGCAATGTCTGGAACTTTCTGGGGAGTCGGCACCCCTGTGTTAGACCCAGTTGAGGAGTCTGGACCTGGAGAATACACCTTTGAGTTCCCCATTTCCTGGGAATGGGTTGTGGGCCTCTTGCTGCAAGGCCTACTCTACCTTTTGCAACAACTCCCAACTCCCTCATCCAAGATAATGAATGACTTTAGCTTGCCGTGTTTGGGTAAAGGAGCTGGATCAAATGTTTAAAGATCTTTTTTTCTTTTCAAATTTTGAAATTATATACCAAATTAATAGCTATTTTTGAATCAGGAAAAATTACACCTTAACTGTGTCTTATTTAATCTGCACAGTGGCACTGCCAGCAATGACCTTGGCAAAGACAGGATTGCAAAATTGTTATGACATTGGTGTGATCAACCTGACACCTGTTATTGATCGGTGTGGAGAAACAATAAGTACCATGCTCTTTCTGTATTTCTGGATTACCTAGTACATAAATACAGTATTAGAATGTGCCAAAGGGAATCTGCACTTTTGAGAGTCAGAATTCAGCAAAGAGGCAGGGTCTTCATCCATTTATTTTGGGATTTGCATAAGCTATCTTTATTCTCTGCTTTATACAAATGGTTATACACAGTGAACAAGGTAACCAGCTAACCAGAATCAGGCAGGTGACTCTGATTCAACTTGGCAAAGCAGTCCTGTAATACTGCCATCCCGTTGGATCCTGACCTTTGGGTACCTAGTTAACTTCTGTGAGGAATAGCCCATACTCATTCCTCTTTGCCTGTTATCAGGTACTTATTCCCCACCAGTTAAAATAATTAGCTGATTTGCAGTGCACAGCAGCGGCTGAAATATGGGGAGATGTTCCCTCTCTTGGTTGATGAAATTATGTAGTAAATAATCATATGTCTTTTTTCTTTTAAACTATTTCTTGCAAAATAAATAAAATGATCAGACATGTACTCAACCTTCAGCTTAAGAACTAGAACATTCTCAAATACCCAGAATCCCCCCCATTTGTCCTCAATCTACATACCACGTAAGGCAAACATTGTTCTGGATCTTTTGTTAATAATTCCCATGTTTGTATTTATGGTTCTGCCATTTATGTATGTATCCCTAATAGTCTGTTGTTTAGACTTACCTGTTTTTGAACTTTCATGTAAATGATATCATCCTTCTGTGACTTTTTTGACCGTTGTTTTTGAGATTCCCATCCCTGTTCATGCATGTAACTGTATTCCATTTGTTTTCACTGCCGTACAGTATTCCATTGTATATGAGACCACCGTTTGTTGATCTGTTCTTCGTTCGTGGAGATTTGGATTGTTTTCCATTTTGGGCTGTCAAACAATGCTGCTCTGAACATTCTGCCAATTACAATGTAAGCTCCATGTGGGCAGGGATTTTGACTGCTTTGTCTGACGTCTTTTGAGACATTCACAGTGTCTAGAACAATGCAGGGCACATGGGAGATGCTCAGTAAATATTTGAGGAATGAATGAGTTCTTGTACGTGTCTCATAGTGCACATGTACAAGATTTGCTCCAGAGAAGTGTGTTTTCAAAGTATGGTCCAGGGACCCTTCGGGTGCCTGAGACCTTTCCAGGGGATCTGTGAGGGCAAAATTATTTTCATAAAACTACTAAAATATTATTTGTCCTTTTCACTCTCATTTTTCATGAGTTTAAATATTTTCCAGGTATGATGACCTCTTCACTCTGATAGCTAATCAAGTGTGTACTTGTGTGTTACTGTGTTTTAAAAATGCCTCTGTTTTCATTTCTGTTATGGTAAAAATTGGTAAGTATAATAACCCACATGAACAACTAACTGCTCTTTGAGATCCTCATTATTTCTGAAGGATCTAAGGAGGTTCTGAGACCAAATAATTGAGAACCACGGCTCTAAGAAGCAGGTTTTACTTGGTCATGCTGAACTGTTTCTTAAAGCCTTGTGGTAGTTCGTGTTCCCCTTGACAATGGTTGAGGACCGTTGCTCCACATCTTAGCAAACATATGGTCTTGACTACCTTTTGTATTTGCCAATTGGGTGGTGATTGTATGGTGTCTTACTGTGGGTTTAATTTGCATTTCCCTGATTACTAATGAAATTTGAGTGTTTTTTTTTTCATATATGAATGTGTTTTCTCTTGTGTGAAATACTTATTCCTGTCTTTCCCTCATTTTTCTATTAGATGTGTGTCTTTTTTTTTTCATTGATTCATGATTTCTCTATACATTCTGCATACCAATCCTTTGTCAGTTAAAGATGTTGTATGTATCTTCTTCCAGTTCGTGTATTATCTTTTGTAATTATATTGAATCTGTTGATCAG